TGCAATTCTGAGATTGCCAGGTGTAAAACCAACTATATGTCTTTTCAGTAGATCTCCATGTGAAAAAGGTATAAAATTCCATTTGCATGTATTTTCATAGAGCTCTTGGCATCAAACGACAATGCTAATAATGTCTCATACCTCCTTAACTTTTTCTTAGTAAGATATAAAGCATGTAATGATATGTGGAAGTTCAGCCAACTTTTCGCAAAAAACATTCCCATAAAAAATAACACAAAATAAGGTATGTACAGTATATGTTCTTTAATGCGAGTGGGTCAAGCAATTTTCTTACTATTGGATTCTTGCATTTAGGAGTCAAAATGAACGATAACAATATTACTATCAATTGTCTTATCGTTTCTATAGGAAAACTTATGAATATCCCTTGCGTTAAAGTAATGCAGGCGATTACAGTTGAAAAGGATGAATGTTATAGCTTTCTCGAGGCTATAATTCAAGGCAGATTAGGGGTTGATATTTCATTCAAAATATGTATAATTCAAGCCGGAAGCAATAATGAAAAGGTAATAGATGGGCGTGCCAATATTTCTGATTATTTTACTGAGAAGCCTAAAGCAGAGCACTTTCATATTACTGTATACCCCCAGTCAGAATAATCTTCTGTATCATGTAGCGCTATAATCGCAATTTTATATATTGTAAGCTGAGTTCTAACAACGTTTTTTTTATTTCTTAAATAAAGCATATATTACGTCTTGTCATAAATCTTGAAAAATGTCATGTGTAATAATGTAATATAATCGTCTGACAATTCTGTACTACATCTTAATTGCATATATATTAGGCAAATGCATTATGAATCAATACAAAAAAATCTATCATTTTTACCCGAGCGTCGAAACCAAAAATACTTTTATATCCATAAATCAGCTTTACCTGTATCAAGTGCATATTTTTTCGCAAGCACAAACACACATATATAAAAACTATGTCTTCACAAACTTCTTCATCCGCTTAACCTGTCTCAATAATGAAAGAAATTTCCACTAGAACAATGTCAGACATTATTAAGGATTTTAATATAGAGGAGCTTATCGAATATTTGAAAAAGAAAAACTTGAAGTTAGAGGAGTCCTACTTCAAAATTTTACGTAAAGAAGAAATAGCTGGTAGTGATTTTCTTAATACAAGTAAAGAGGAATTTCAAAGTTATGGCATGAAAGCTGGTCCTGCAAAAAGACTTGCAGAATTTATTGAGAGTTTCAGCCAGAAATTATGAAACTATTCCTCACTTAAAACTCTTAATGACTTGAAAGAAATGTTGCATAGAAATAAGGTCAACAGGGAAAACATAATAAGCATTAAGCAATTTACTCCTAGTGAGTGATTATTTTTATTTTACACTGCTCTAGAATGGTCCATCATAAATATAGTAATAACCGCTTATTTTTTCTCCACAGTCTTCGAGGAGATTAATGATGATGATAAGGCTCTTGATCACTGTATGGAGGATGTAATCTTGAAACTTTCGAATGTGAAAACTATGACTGACGCTAACAAGATGACGCGCTGTGAATTTATTTCATCGATTCTCCATGCATTCTTGCTATAGCTAAAAAACTTACCTCTCAAGATATATTTATAGTGTTTCAAAAGGACGTTTCAGTGAGGATGCAACAGGCTGAGTAGACTATGCAATCAAAAGTCTAGAAGACCTCCTCTATATCACCAAAGGGAAATCACAAAATATTAAGATTAGTTATGCGCAGGTAGGCCTACTATCCACATTTTCGCTTTCTAACATATTAGAGATAATAATGATGGTTTATTTCTTAGAATCTGGCGTAACTTGAAAATGCGTTCCAAATAAATAAGTAAAAATAAACCGCAGATCAAGCGTTTGGGAATGACTATTTTGACTATATCTATGGTATTGTGACCACAGGTACAGAGTGGCATTTTATCATATATACTCCGGATGGCATCTTCTCCACAAGCGGTAGTGAGCATCAGATTAATCTTACGAAGTTCGCAGTTAAAAATAATCCTAAATTACTACGAAGTAACGTAAAAAGGATAATTAGTATTATTGTTAGGTTGCTGAAGAATCGAGTTAGTGTAGATAATTCTCCGACTAGCAAGAGGCTAGGATCAAAAAGTTGCTTAAAAAATAATATGTATTACAGGGCAGTCTCAAACTTGTATTTATTTTTTCGCATGTAATAATAAAAAATTTTTCTTGGCAAAAGTGATCAGTGTTACAATTTGTAACGCACACGTGATTTTTTTTTATTTTAAATATTCATATGTAGTGTATTAGTTATATATAGATCATGTCATCAGAGCTTGAATTATTAAAACAGCGCATTAGCGAGCTTGAAGCTAAGAATGCTAAGCTTGAGACTGAGAAAGCTGAACTTCTAAAGCAGGTTATGGAGAAAGATGTTAAACGTGATGCTGAGAATACTAAACTCAAGTCTAAAGTCGGGAACTTGAAGTCAGGCTCACAATATTGGAACAGAGTGTTACTGAAGCAACTGGACAGCCACAGAATGATAAGGATACGATAGCAGAAGTGCGGTTATCTATAGATAACCTGGTATCAGTTAATGATTCCGTAGTAGACCAGCAAAATAGTGTCAACACCAAGGTAATTGAGAATAAGAAAATAGATAGTTTCTATTCTGAAGAATCTACCAGCTCTAAGTTACCAGAAGAAAAGAAAGTAGACACTTTCTTAGATGAGGTAAATAAGAAAAAGGTTAACAATGAGATTAGGAAAAGGAAGTGGGAGAAGAAACTTTAAGATAATTCCCAGAAAGATCCGGACTCAGAGACACACATAGCTTCTCTGGATTCCGCCACTTCCTTGAATGAAAAAAATGGACAGGGTTATTCTCCTATAGCAAATGAGCAAGTATCTAACAATCAAAAAATTACCTATAATCAGAAAGTAGAACAGGGTTTGAGACACGAGCTATCTGCTTATATAAAAGGGAAGGGAGGTTTGCTTAAACAAACTGGAGAGATTGCTTCGCAATTAGATAAAGCATTCGATATTGAGATTCCTGAATTCTCTTTAGAAGTGATTCTAACAGGATCTAGTGAAGTTACAGCACAAAATATAGTTGATCTATTTAGAGTGGCAATGAAAACCAGATAAAAGGAAATCTTATGCTGGTATTGTTACTATAAGGCATATGAGAACTGAATCAGGGATGTCAAATTTACAAGTAACATTGATGACCAATCAGTAAGAACGCTGGTATACAACGAGATCAAAGCTCTTCTTCTTGACATTACTGATGTGAACTTGCGTCAGAAAATCTTCAGAGCCAAAAAAATCTACATATTAGGAATAGATAGAATACAAGCAGTTACTTATAGCACAAGCGCAATTTCTAACTTAAAGATTATCAGATCCAGGGCATTATAAATGATTTTTCAAAAAAGGCCGACAATACAGATGAGGTAATTAGCGTTACAGATTGTAACGCACATGTGACTGAATCTTCTGAGGTAAGTGAATCAACTGCATCTATTTCTGCTTCTTATGACTCTAATTCTTCAGATGATTCATCTAGTTCAGACAATCTGTCCAAAGCTGTGATAATACCTATTCCTCAACCCAATAGTCCAATTCATGACCAGGTATATTTCCGCAATAAATCTTAAAGCTTTACCCTAGAATATCTTATAGACGTAGTAATGACAGATCTGAAGATGTATATAATTGTAAGACAAAATCTTCATTATGTCCATCATGTGAGACAAATCATATAGAAAATATAGTAGGTCGATATAGGGAGGGATCTGGTGCCTCTGGCACCTCTTATCATATAGGTTGTATGTTTAGATATACAGGAGATCTAGAGGTGGTGGCATAAAAATTAGATCACCATGAAATCGATCACCTGAAATGTGCAGAAGATATCGGAGAAATTCTCTTTTTTTCTTCGTATGGCTCAGAAAAAATCTATCACTTGATTTTTTGCAAAGTTAATTTGAATTATATTTTCTCACTCTTCAGATCGATAGATCAAGGGGATAGGGCTGTGCGACGTAAGATTGCCATATATATTCGCATTATTTTTTCAAATCACGTGGATGGCTTAGATATTGTGTACAGTAAAGCGTCATCTATTCTTCTCTGTAGTAAACGCATGTGATTCCGCAGAATATACTATGCGCAGTAATATGTCACCAGCATCTGCAGTCATTATTTTTAGAGGATCTATTAATAACCCCGGCCAAGAGCAATATTTTTGTGTTAACATACTGATGAACTTTCCCCAAAGTTCTGGTATGTTCTATTTTACTAATAAAAAATTTACATGCGGATCGTAAGACAGGGCGTTGATAAAAAGAAATTCAAAAATGGAAATAGAGCCGATTAGAATCAATGATTTACAGATCCTCAGATAAATGGTATATTTTTATTATCCTACTAACGTTAGCGCATACAAATTACGTCTATAGGCTAATCACATCTTAATCCGTTTTTTGAATAGGAATTAGCAGTACGTAATCCAGCATGGGTGATTTATCATCTATTATTTTTACAAATCTTGATCCATGATGAATAAATGACTGATTTTTTTTTCCTTTTTGCGATTTGAAATAGGGAATAATAGCATTCATTCTACATAATTAATTTCCATTTTTGGTGATAAGATTTTGTATTTTCAATGAATACTGTCGATCGATTTATCATAAAACCGTAATTACAAAAATGTTCAAAGAAGCCAGGATGATCGAAATTAACAATAAGATCGAAAGCCCCAACTTTGGTGTTAACAAGTATTCTGGCTTTTATCATGAATCAAAGATCTAGACTTTCAAAACAAGATCTGGATTGACATTTGAGGTATTTTTGCTTTTGTGAATAGGACCATCATCTAATTAATTGCAGTGTTTAATAAAAGGTTTAGCGTATAACAGTCTAACTGACTATGGTTTATTATTTAGAACAAACTGCTGGTTGGGTAAAAGGTTAATGTGAAAATTAAAATATAAATATGCATCTTTTATTCATTATGGGTCTCCTCATGTATCAAACCATGGTCGTCCTCACCTGCCTTACCAAAGGAAACAGATCTTCGTGTACTTTCGACATTGAAGTTGATACAAACGTTAAGGTTAATCGACTCAAAGAGTTGATCAGAGATGACCAAAAGCACACCTTCGCTAAATTTGATACCAGCCAACTCATTCTATGGAAAATAAACATTTCAAACAACCGTGCTAACGAAATTCATGACCTTAATCTTGAAAACGATCTGAACATAGAAGAGATGTTTGGTTCAGAAGAGATTCGCAAGTACTTTGAAAACGTACCTAATGGAAGCATTCATATTTTAGTCGAACAAAGTGTGTAAATATTTCGAAACTTAAGTAATCAAGTTATTTTGTTAATAGTGAATCTGACACTTATAAGATGTCTTATGCTGTCCTTTGCATTTGATATTCTCATATGAATCCGATAAAAAGGTTGAAGAATTGGGAGATGATTTACAAAGATTAACAATAGGTGAGGCCTTTCTTATTCGTGAAAGTCGATGTAGCAACGCAATTTATAGTTTACTATTTAAACAGATAAGCATCCTCGGGCTGATAATGGCGATGAATTGAAACAG